ATATCAATTGGGTTCTAGGAATGTTCTTATTTTGGACTCCATTCAGCTCAAGAAAAGGAGATTATAGTGTTATGCAACAGAACAATCCAGCAGCTCATGAGATTACAATCAGTAAAGTATACCTTTGGGACTACCATCCCCAATGATTTTGATTTTGTCTCTTGGTGGATCGGTGGCTCCTGGCTGACAAAAGTTGCGAAGAAAGTAACCATCGAAGAAATTGCATACAACAAACGTATGGGGGATTCCCTCTGCTTCAATAGCCCTTCGAATTTCAGCCTTAGCAGCAAACATTGATTTTGCCGGCTCCACTGCGTGGACACGATCCACATCGTTGCCAAATTCTGAGGGTAAGAATCTCTGTACCAAAAACATTTTAATCTAAGAAATTTCCAAACACAAACTCTCACAGCAGAATGCTTCTGGCAGTGACGATAATCAATGGCAAATACATAGAACAAATTTGGTAGGAAATGATAGTGGTGAAATGAAGGCTACCTTCACATTACCAGCTTGTTTGATAGCAGATATGATCTTATCTTCATTGGCTAACAGAGCCCGACCAACGGTGGATATCACCACATCAACTTGCTTTATTGCCTTAACCAGACTCTCATTGTCGAAGATATCGCCCTGCTCCAATTTCTCAGCGAATAAGCAAATCGAACATTATCACTTCCCAAAACTATAACGAAATCATCAGTATATACTACATCATTATTCGTTTCAGAGAAACCAAACAGAAAACGACCACTTCGAATTCGACCGATTTGAACTAAAAACCTACCTCAGTTATTCGGGAACGGTATTTCACATTTCACATTCCAGTAATCGATTCATTGATCCTCATGAACATTTTCAACAATCAAACAACAAAATCCAGAGAAATAAAGGATAATGAACTTACGAAGAGGAAATTGACTCCCAAGCTCCTGAAATTATCTATAATCGAAGACTTGGCAGAGTCAGCAAGCGTGGATTCCCGAACCAATACATAAGTTGGATGACCTGCTTTGGCGCTGGCTTCTACTATAAACTTTCCGATGTAACCAGTTCCTCCGATGATGAGAACCTTGAGCTTTTGCGCCATGGGACGAAGATTTTCACGAATAAAAACCTGATCGGAGCAGTGCCAGTGAACCGCAAATGGAACGAAGATGATGCTCGTACGATCCTTTCTCGTTGTATCAAATCCCAAGTGCAAAACTCACGCTCACACATATATACTTTTTATTTATATTTTTTTTTAATTAATTGATAATTGAGATATATTTAAATTGATAAATTAAATAATATATATTATATTAAATATTTGTCATATTATCGATAATTATTATTTTTTTAATTATTGACCATGATTAGATTTTTTTAAATACAAAAATATGAAAATTTAATTTTTTAAAAATCTCTTATAAATAAATTACTTTAAAAAAAAAAATTCTCTCAAAAGCGTTTGTTTTTTACATTTTATATTTTCCATTAATTAAGTTTTTTTTTTTTTTTTAATATTTGAAATTTGGGAAGAGCTTTATTGGGGGTTATTTTCGGAAAGCATTAGGTAAAATGTATTTATTCCGAAAAATTGATTGAATTATTAATTAAATTTAGTAGTTAGTGAATATAGATAATTTATTAATTTAACTTAATTTCAAATTTAGCTTAAAATTTACAAAAATGGCCTTGCCTTGTGAGGAGATTTGTGGTTGTGGTTGGCGGGGAAGGACCGCCGCCGCCGGCTGCTACCTTGGTCCACCATGGCTAACTTCAAAAGTCTCTTTTGGTCCATTCTCATCCACATAAGTGGAAGAGATCTATATCGAACAACCCTACGTTTCAAGTTGAAGGTAAGAAATACTTGGGTTTGATATGAGACGTTTGGTTCGGTCGGGGGCATGGACATAAGAACATAACTTCTGATCACTGCTGACACCCATTGTACTAATGTATGGATAAAGCTTTGAAGCTTCCATTCCAAACGAGTCAAATTATTCCATTATTATTAATAAAAATTAATAAAAATATATCCGTTAAATTTGAGACCAATTATAACTGAACACCTGTCTCAAATTTAATTTGCATGTAATTTGAATAAAAATTAATAATTTTATTACATTAAGATAAGAATTGGATATATATATTATTTTGTTCCTCCCTTACTAGACAATGGTGGAGGAGCTCCTCTTGAAATGAGACGGAGCAGGTCGGAGCCAACCTCGACCCCCGATCATGTCTTTGGTGAAGAGTTTTGCAGCCTCATCCGTCGAGAGGCTGCGCGACCACGCTACTCTTTTCGCTCTGTTCGACCCTGGTCCATAGCATTTGTATTCCCCGTAGAATACCGTTCTATATGTTATGGAACATAAATTCATCTTTAGATTCAAAATCTCATAAGAAAAAAAAAGATAGAAATTACAAAACTTCACAAAGATAGCATTTCTTACTTATAAATACATGATCTCCTTAATTAGCTAATGTGGGACAAAAATATTACCTTTGCTTGGTGTGATCTCCCCAGTCATTCCAACCCTCTGGCACAACAACGTTGCTCATATGAGTGTAGCCGAACACAACTCTTGAGCAATCCCCCCATGGCCGTCCAAGCAAAGCCGATCCACTTCCGGTAATTTTGCACCCCAAGAACACGAACCCAGTGTTCTCCGCCGTTGTGTTACGGTGCTGCGCCGTCATCGCCCCGCCTCTCTCCGACATTGAGTGTAAATGACACTTCTGAAATTCAAAATCAACAAATATATTGTATCTTTCCATTTATTGCTCTTTTTCTTTTATGTTATTTATCTCTAAACTTTTTAACATTTTTTACTGGACAAAAACCTCGTAGAGAGAAGCTGCGTTTCCGCAGATGAAATCGGTGGCGCCTTCAATGTAACAGTTCTTGAAGTAGTGTCTTCCGACGTCGTCTAGGAGGGTGTCTTGAAAGGATATGATACGGCAGCCGTAGAAGGCGGCTCTGTCGGCGGAGACCCTCAGCGCCACCGCAATGCCGGTGGTGCCGTATGTGTTCTGGATGGTGAGAAAACGGGCGACGAAGTCGGAGGCGAAGACGGAGATGGCCGGAGATTGAAGTAAATCTCTTCCTTGGTTCCATGTGATTATGGTGTCGGAGGCTTTGCTGCCGCTCAATGTTATGAACGGCTTGTCCTCCGGCACCACAATTTTCTCCCTGCTCCAAAAAAAATAAAAAAATAAAATAATAATAATAAAACAAAATCCATTAATTTTAATTATATCACCGACCAACTTTCTACACCGGTTTGATTGGAAAAATCTTCCAAACCAACTCGAAATTTCGAGTGGATAAGTTAGTGATCTAAGTGGCTCGAATATAATTTATGACCTAAATCAATTTAATCTTCTACTTTCGAGTTGGGTTTGATTAGGTCGTAGAATTATAATGCTTAAATATAAAATATTTACAAGTTACAGAGCATAGACTACAAACGTTAAATATTTTTAATTTTCATAATAATTTTGAAAGTAAGTAAAGTTGCATTGTAACTTTCTTTTCGAGTGGATTGAATTGGCATGGCAAAAAAAGTAGCAACCAGTACCGACCCAAAATTTTGATTTTTCCAAGAATTAAACCTAACCTTTATGATTTGGGTCAGGTAGTCTGGGTTGATCGGGTTCTCAAATCATGTGAAGGCTCTTATTAAAAATTTCAATATCCTGAGGTTTTTAAGTTTTTAGGAAGAGTCATAAATAGCATCTTACGTACGGTTCACAAGTCGAGCTCTAGAAGGACTTAGGTCAAAACTTATGTAATAGTCCGTCATCAATTGGAAGCATGAAAGGTGATGATGAATTGCGATTGGTCATCAACTTATCTCGACCTATCCAAAATGATCATGAGCAATAATAACCCTAAATGACCTAAGAGCTACCAACCCCAACCTAAACATAAACCGAAACATGAAACATGAAAGAACCCCAAGCTAAAAAAGGTTAAATATCGAGGATTATTTGCATGGTCTAAACTCGAGCATAACTCAACGAATTGAAACGTATAATTCGAAAAACAAACCTATAAGTTCCGGGTTTGATCCAAATGAAAACGAGTTCATTGTTTCGAGGTGGAACAGAATCAATGGCTTCTTGAATCTTCCTAAAATCTCCCTTTCCAGATTGGTCTACCCTTATCAGCCTCGCAGTGCTCATATCTGCAGGAGCCATCGCTATTATTCAAAGAAATTTCAAAATAAAGCTTATTAAAATTAAGAAATAAATTCAATTTCAAATTTCCCTCATATATATATATATATATATGTATATATATATATTTATATAATAATTTGTAGCTTGGTTTAGTGGCAAAAGCCCCATGTGCCCATGTGGGATTTTCCTTCAATTCCAAAAATGTTGTTTCATTTTGAAGTTTGAATATTTATTTTCTTTTAATAGTATTATTTTTAATTGAATCTTTACTATAAAATTATAAATTTACAATTTTGAAATAAATTAATAACGTGACGATTTAATAAAACCCATGAAAAAATAGAGTTACGTATCATTTTAAAATAATAATTTAGAGATTTTTCATAAACTATGTTAATATATAATTTTGGTTTCAATATAATTATTTTATTTTAATTAGTATTATTCTTATTTGAATTAGATCGTTAAATAATTTTTTTAAATTACTAATCTTTATTAAATAATAAATTCAAAAAATTATTTATTCAAATTTTGATTTTTTAATAAAATTAAAATGTCAATACGACAGAACATCTATTTTTATTTTTTTTTTTCTTTAAATATTAAATTAAGAGAGAAAAAGTGGCATTGAAAACTTAAGAATGAAGCAAAAGAAACGCAGAAAAATGGGCTGATTTCGTGAAGCAACAGGTAAATTATCAATATTGTTTATTAAGCTATATTTTAAAAGGGCGGAAGATGAGGAAATGGGTTTGTCCCACATCGGCCAAGTCCAGGAAGCGCGAGGCAGGGATTGGCTATAAAAGGACGTTGAGATTTCTGTACAATTCATACCTTTCTCGGCCTTTTGGCTAAGATCAAGTGTAGTATCTGTTCTTATCAGTTTAATATCTGATACGTGGGCCATCGGCCCACATGATATTAAATTAATTTTTCAAGGGGGAGGGCCCATCAAGGTAGCTTGCTACCTGGGCTTTCGAGCGTCGCCCTAGCGTTGCACTACTGCTTGGGCCTTGGCGCACCCCTCCAATATCAGTTCTCAAAGCATTGTTTGGGCTTTACTGGATTTAAGGAGAATATTATTTATTTGGTAAGACATGTAAATGTGTTTCGTTTTTGCCTGATAATCGCAATTGAGTGTTGCTAAAATGTGAGTATCGGCCTTGTTTGTGTAGTATATTGTCATCGTAGGTTAAAGATTCTACTCAACTAGCCTACCCTTACTACTAGCATCATCTAGTTTGCTAAAGACGACATGGTAGATATCGTGGATGTCTCAATGCCCTTGTTTTAGGTCCCTTGTGGTTCGATGACTGATTTGGTTTGTATTGGGATGAAGCGTAGAGGTCCGTTGTATCGGAGTGGTTCATCTTCAAAAGAAGAACAAAACTCCGATGACAAGTACTTCTGCCTCAAATAGCGGAGGTCCGTTGTATCGGAGTGGTTCATCTTCAAAAGAAGAACAAAACTCCAATGACAAGTACTTCTGCCTCAAATAGCGGACCCAACAGATTTGTTTTTGAAAAGTCTCAATGTCCTTGTTGAGGATTGAACGGCCAAGTTATTGAGGATACGTTTGAGTGAAGTAATGTTTATTCAGATATTCTCGATGAAGTAATGTTTATTCAGATATTCTCGACATGTTCTCGAGATGAAGACAAATATATTTCAATCCAAAATACAAGAGTAATTGGTTATTGACATGAACCCATCACTAAAAAAATATTAAAAGTTTAGTTATTGTAAAATGAAAGATTACAAGGGTTTAGGGTATTAAATACAAAATTGGAAGAAGAAATTTTCCTATCGAGCAATGGGCTGATGGGCCAACACTAAATGGGCTTTTATAATATTGGGCTAATGGGCTTTCTTTTTCTTCCATTTAACCCATCGGAATGCTTCTTCTATAAATAGCTCCTGCTACATCACAATTTTCCAGACCCTAAACCCTAAATTGTATCTGCTCTGCAACATCTCCGCCTCGTCTCTTAATTTTTTTTTGCGTGTTCATGAGAAGGCAGCAATGATGATGATTTCATATAATCTCGTTAATCCGATCTCAATGTGAGGATAAACGCTTATCCATTCTTTTATATCTGAGCGCCTTCTCTTTCTCTGAATTCTTTTTTTGTTGCTTTACTGTGTTTTCTGAACTTTTCAAGCATTTGACATGGCGGAGTAATTGGATCCATTCTATTTTCGGATTTTTCTGATTTTAATTAACCATGTTCGTTTTACTGTGTTTGTCATGATTCTATTCGTCAATTCTTGATCTATTTCGTTCGTTTTATTATGATTTTCGAATATGTATTTCTATTTCGTATTTCGGTTTATGATTCTCTCATTAACAGTTTTTTACAAGGCTAAGTGCTCTTTCAATCCTTTTTTAGTTTTTGTTTTTGTTTTCTAATTTTTTGTTTAGTTTCAGTTTTACTTCCAACTTTCTGTTGGAAATCCTTGAAAAAATTAATACAAATTCATTCTTATAAAACCTTCTTACTTTTTGAATAATTAGGATCGATTTGGTCTTGTTTCAAGATCGGCCTATTTAATCATTTGTATTTTTAGTTTGCCACTTTAAATTCAATTCCTGTACTAATCTGTATGCTTCAAATATCTTTAAAATAGTCCCAATTTGTTTTTGGTGTGAAGGTTTATTTAATCCTGTAATCGAAATTTTATGGCATTTTGTCCTAAGCATAGTTTAGAAATATTTAAACAAAATCATTGTAGTACTGTAATTATAGAAAAATAGGGTTATTAGAAGGGCGTTGTGGAGGCAATCAATGACTCTATTTCTGGTTGATCCATGGATCGAAATATGATATCATCTGTAAAATATGATATCAACTATCAGGGTGTGAGATAGAATTACTAGTCATATTCCATAAAAATCAATACTAACCATCCCAATAAATTGAGACAAGATAAAAAGGTATAACAAATAGAACAGCTTGCATACATTAGATGAAGAAGAAGAAGAAGAACAATACAAGGGAGGGAATCTACATTCCGTGGCTTGTGAGTATCATTGATTCCACTCTTTGTTTTTTGTTTGTGGGTTAGGGTTTAGATGTGAGGAATTTATTGGTTTATAAGTTCAGTTGGTGACTGATGGAGAAGCTAGCGACGGAGCCATCTCTTGAACCAATTTCAAAATTTATTTACAGAGTCCCAAGATATTGTTGTATATGAAATGTAACAACACTAAACCAAAACATAACCTATAGGGTGTTTGGCTTCTAGGTTAGGCTCGAGATTAAAGTGAGTCTAGGTTTGATCTATGGTTTTCTCTTCTTGTCACATCCATGAATGAACTAGATTATGATATTACGTCTTTATAAGCAAAGGGGCAAAGGAGAGTGAAATATGATTGAACAAAGGGGTAGGCATTTGGCATATAGAGAAAGTGCAAACGGGAGAGAGGATAAGGTGTGACCCAAAATTTGGGACCAGAGAAAATGAATGGTCTAAACCATCTCTCCATCTCTTTCTTTGCTCCTCTCATCCATTTATTGACAAGTCTCTATCTTTTCCTATAAAACAAGAACAAATTTATTCATATCTTTTATGAAATTTAATTGCATTTCCAAACTAGAGACAAATAAATTATTCTTCAACTACCCACAAGGCACAAACTATCTATCTTCACAATTAACCTTTTTTATCTTCTTTATTTACTCTCATTTTCTTTTTAATTCTATAATATAAATAGCTTACTATAATGCTCTAGGTTTAGAATATATATTAAAATTTAAAATTATTATTCGGCATCTGATGGCCTTGGTAAGCCACTGCATCCACTAACAGTCTAAGCATGGTAATGTTTCGTACTTGTATTGAAGTGAATTAAAAACTCTTCCCTACCCTTTTAAGAGAGAAAATTGTCACAAGGCAAACCATTTTTAGTTCTTGTGATTGAGCCATTAATATGATTACTTTCATTGGGTCTCAATTTATTCACATATCCCTCTACAATATTAATTTTATTAACTCAAATAAAAGAGATGGGCACTAGCGTACCTTCTATCAATGTCTCTAGTTAATTTACATAAAAGAGAGGAAAAAAAGAAACAAAAAAAGAAAATTGAATTTCGTGGATCGGGAAGACCAACTCTCATTCAAGGAAGCGGACCGTTGATGACAACAGGCCTGGAAGGACACATGTTTTTAGAGGTTGACCCATCCGACCCCTGAAACTCGTAATTTAGCAAATAAAACCATTCCGTACCTTTTTCTCATGTCGATACCAGCTACAAATCAGATATGACCGATTGAAAAAAGAAAAGAGAAATGAACGATTAAGCCAGACTTTGCCTTAGAGACCCATGAAATGAAAGTTTGATTAGACAAAAGGTCTTTGAAGACCTCTTCAACTTTCACGCTTATGATGGCTATCACCTCAATTTAGACCTGCTTATTTAGAATGAAGATAAGATGAAAGGCCATCATGAAACAGTCGTTGGATTTGAATGTGTGCAACATTTTAACTCACTTAGAATGGACCGACAACTTTGTCGTCTACAAATGTTTCCTTTTCATCTTCAATGCCTGGATATTGCTGCAACAGAAAGCTCGATAGCGACAACAATGGCGGCCCTCCTTCAAAGCTCACACTGCAAACCCTTTGTAAGTCATCTCCCCAAGTTGAACAGAGCTCCAAATGCTATATAAAAAAAATAAAATAAAACCATTACAAAAAACAAAGAATTTGAAACAGAGAGAAAAGAAGTTGAAACAAGGAATTACAGTAACAGAAGCCGAGCTGATCAATGGAGTTTGTGGGACTGTTACAGAACTTGAGCTGATTCCAAGCTGATTAAAGTACGATGAAGAAGTAGCCGTTTCCGGCGAGATTTCCGTCGCCGGAAACACCTGTAAAACAAAAAAAATTCGTCTAAAAATTCATAGAAAGATACTTTACTTTGTCCTCTTCTTGTCGGAATGATTATCTCTCACCATTTTAGAAAAAGGGTCATCGACATTGATGAAATCGAGTCTCGGATTCGCAGTGGCCAGCTTCATGGATAAGAACTGCTCAAAATTGAACGAAAACTCAAAAAATTTCAAAAATTTAAAGTAATTGTTCTTGAAGTCAGTTTAAAAGGCACAATCACCTCCACTTGTTGCTGAAGAGATTGAACATAATTTATAATTTCATCCAGCATTCCAGCTTTTCCTGCAATTTTGTTACACCCAGGTACCAAATTCTGCAAATACTTCATTCTCTCACTTATCTTCTCTCTCCTCGCCTGCTCATATAAAATCTTGTCAATATTTTTATTAAAAGAGGTCAGATGATCGAATATCTCTATTGATTCTTACTCGTTCTGCGAGACTATGGCTATCTGTAGCTTGGCCTCGACGGGCTCTTACAGGAACGTAATCAGAAGCTCTTGAACTCTGTTTCGACGTCTCTGTTTCCTCTGTTTGCTCTGTTTGCTCTGTTTTCTCTGTTTCTTCTTCTTCTTCATTATTATTTGGTTTGATTCTTTTGTCAGATTCAGCATTACCCAGTTTGGATTTCAGTTCCTTGTTCTTGTTGGTCTTTCTCTTCTTCGGAATATCTCCGACCGCCACGGAGTTCGCCTGCATCAAAATATGAAAAAATGATTAAATGGTAAAAAGTTTTAAACTTTTCTGGGTTTGGAGATCACCTCCGGCGGTGGCGAACATGTCACGGTGGAGGAGAACTCGTACTTGGCCAAGTCAGGCCAACCTCCGGGTGCAAGCAGATCCTGAAAATCATTGACCCGGCTCGCTGGATTCGAGACGGGCGACAAGCTGTGGCAGTCACCGTGGCTTCGCCGCCATTTGACTGGAGTCCTCTGTTTTTCCGACATTGTCATCTCCGACTTCAACAACATCTGACCGGCCGGAAACCCGGAAAAGTTAATGGGGTTTGGTTTTTTGTTGAAGAAAGTGAATAAAACGGATGAGATATATAAATAAGGGAGGAAGGAGGAGGAGGGGAAGGGCGGCAGTGGCACCGAAATCTGACAGCAATGGCCGACGTTAACACACAGCGGACGCCATGGGCGCTGGGGCCGGTGATATGACGGCCACGTGGTTATGTGAAAAGCTTTTTTTTTTTAATAAAAAATATTAAATTTAGTCGGAGTAGATGTCTGTGGTAAATTTTTTTTACGATATTGTCGCGGGTTTAGAATGTTTTTACACTCCTATGAGGAATGTTTTGTTTTCTTTCGATCGATGTAAGATCTCACAATCCATCTTCCTTGGGAGCCCAACATCCTCGCTGCACATCTCTCGGTATTTGAGTTTGATACCATTTGTAACAGCCCAAATCCACCACTAGCAGATATTATTCACTTTGGCCCGTTATATATCGCCGTGAGCCTCCCGATTTTAAAAAAGTGTATGCTAGACAGAGGTTTTCATACCCTATAAGGAATGTTTCGTTCACTTTGGCTCATTATGTATTCATGGTTTTAAAATGCGTTTGCTAGAGAGAAATTTCCACTCTTATAAGAGATGCTTCGTTTCATCTCCAATCGATATGAAATCTCATATTGAAAGAAAAGATTATTGAACTCTCGAAGATGTGTATATCTCAAATATTGTCAATTCTTAAATAATATACAACATTACATCATTAAGTCAATACCCGAGTTTATAGGTAAATATTCACCGACACCATATTTTATACTATAACTAAAATGGGTCGATTACTAAACAATTCTAATTTTTAAAAATGGAAAAAAAAATTGAGATAATTATCGACATATCATAAATGACACGTTAACTTTATTAGCTGAGCTATACTAAAAACGAGATGGGTGGAAGGATAGAAATTATGTGAAACAACACGGGATAATTGCACCTGAGCTTACATGTGTCATCATCACCGTCTATTGAAATAAAGGATTTTAGTATAGAGGTTTGAAAATAAAGTAATATGAAACGATGTTTCAAATCAAGTAATAAAAATGAATCGATTCAAAGTACCGTATCTATTTTAAGGTCAAATCTCTCTAATTATGGGTCTCGATCCCACCTTCTAAAATAAAAACAAAAACGAAAAGTAATAAGGTATAAAAAGTTCAATTGTTTGGGCTAAAATTTTTATGATTTGACTTCGTTGGAATTTGAAATCTCGGGATGGAAAAGGACGGATGGACTATGATAACATGGTGTGTTGGCCAAGCCTTTTGGTTTGACAACTACCTTTGGACTACAAAAGGAATACATACAACCTCGTTGAAGATCGGTGTGCTCAAAACATTCGATAAATATGTAATCAACTCAACTCAATTTACGGGCCTTTGTCGGTGATTTGGGTTGTTTCCTTCTCAACGATAAAGCTTATCCCCCCATCGTCTCATTGGCCGACCTTTACATCTGTTATTTTGAGATCATATCTAGTATTCAAAGTTTGCCTCGATTTGGTACCTAAACAGTGCTTTACTCCTATATATCCAATAACGGCTGTGCCTCAACGTATTTCGAGAAGAATCAACGTGCCTCAACTAATTCTTTAACATCAGTCAATTCAGACCTCCACTTAGTTTCACACAAGTTTTATCATGGTCATGGATAGATCATCTAAGTTCGAGCGCATAAACAGTGACAATTGCCCCATGAAGACTTGTTTTAATTGCGAATTTGGTGGGTTCCCTTAACCAAACCATTGTCTATGAGTCGCTGGCTCATTCTTCAACGGGCACGCGATAATTTAATTACATAATTATTTCGATAAATCATTCTCAAACCGTTCTTAAAATAAATCTAATAAATCTTTTAATTTTTTTTTAAAAGTAAGTCTATCAAAAGAAATATTGGATGTTTAATTGAATTCTCAAACATTACTTTACACTGTGATTATTTATGAGAAATTTATCAAATCATAGAGATTGTTACGAGATTTCATCAATGAAATTTTAACTTTTTCGAAACTCATTTCACCGTTCCGAAACTAGGTTGACTCGGCTTTCGAAAACGAAACCCGAAAATTAAAGTAGCGAGGATGGGAGAGGACATGCATCCACCACCCTCTAAGATCTCCCATGATTCAAAATAATAGACTTATTTCCAACTACTTTTTTATTTTATTTTATTTTATTTTATTTTATTTTATTTTATTTATTTATTATTATTATTACATCAAATGTGACAAAGATCTTGATTTAATAATTGGTCCTATTGTAATAAATATTTAAATGAAGGAAGAATGGGACAACTCACTTTATTGTACAAACCAAGATTTTTTCTTTTAGAAATCAATAATGCATTCATTACAAGCGAGGGAAGGTTAGATCAGGTCGAGTCGAAGACAGTTTTTAGATTCAATTCAATTGTTCGAGTTGTAATTTTTTTTTAAATTAAACTAACCCTTATTAAATAATGAACCTAACCGAACTCAACCCAACCTCACCGTAAAATATTACGGTTGGGTTGGGTTAGTTCTGTTAGATGATGAAAGTCCCACATCGGCTAATTTAGGGAATGATCATGAGTTTATAATATTATCTCTATTGGTACGAGGCTTTTTGGGAAGTCCAAAGCAAAGCCATGATAACTTACACTCAAAGTGGATAATATTATACCATTGTAGAAAGTCGTGAAACATCGATAAGTTCAACATCTTAAACATAGACTCGATTTCTTGACACTTTGGTAACATAGACTTTTATTGATAAATTTCATGTCTTATAGATATCCCTTTCCGTCACCATCAGGTGGTCCTAAGAGGAACAAGGGAAAAAAACCTAATGATTGTTGTTGCCTTGTTTTTCGGTGTGTCTGTTTTCTGTACAAAATAAATGAAAAAAATCAATTCATACTCTTAAACTTGTCGTGTATCAATTTTTAACATAAATTTCGATTTCATCAAATTATACTTTAGACTTCGTTAAATGTGGTAATTTTTATAATCATTATAAGAAATGTTTCATTTCCCTCTCCAATGGTCCAATGTCGGACTCTGATACTATATGTAACAACCTAAACTTACCGCTAATAGATATTGTCCGCTTTGGCCCCTTACATATCGCTGTCACGTTTACGAAAGATTTTCACGTATAAAGATATTTTGTTCCCCCCTCCAACTAATATGGAATGTCTAAAAAAACATTAATGTCTCGACTCTTATGGAGATAGTATTACTCACTTATAAACCCATGATCTTTCACTAAATTAATCAACATAGTATATTAAATATACAATAATATACATTTAAAAGTATTTAAATATTCTTCCACGTGATTCTTCATATATTTATATACATTATATTTTCCATCAAATTGATTTTTTAATTTAATTTTTAAATAGTTTATCTAATTGACTTTGGAATAAAATTAAATTAAACTAATTCATAATTGATTTGGTTTAACCTTCAAAATTATTCTTCATTTCTCATCGATTTTGAGAATTAGAGAATCCATGGCGAACATTTTCCACGTCTACCACCGGGTTCTCCGGTGGCTAATGAAGGTCGCCGGAGTCAGGCAAGAACTGGTCCAGATACAACCAGGAACCACTATGAATTTCTGGGTACCCACCAGAAACCCGAAAAAAAACCCGAATCCACCGGTGGTCCTTCTCCATGGATTCGCCGGCAATGGGATCATGACGTGGCAATTTCAGGTGATGAATCTGGCCAGAAACTACGCCGTCTATGTACCGGACTTTCTCTTCTTCGGCGAATCGGTGACGGACCGGGCGGAGAGATCGCCGGAGTTTCAGGCGGAGTGCGTGGTGAAGGGGCTGAGGAGGCTGGGGGTCGAGAGGCCGTGCGTTTTGGTGGGGTTTAGCTATGGGGCAATGGTGGGGTTTAGGCTGGCTGAGATGTACCCGGATTTGGTGGCCGCGATGGTAGTCACGTCGGCGCCGACGGTGTTGACGGAGTCGCTCAGCCGTGAGGCGCTGCAGGAGATTGGGTATAAAAGTTGGTCGGATTACTTGATTCCCAACACGGTCAAAGGTGTGAAATCCTTATTTGAAATTGGTTCCTTTGACTTTCCGGCGCTTCCTAATTGGATTATGGAACAATATGTAAAGGTATTTTAAAAGATATTTTTTAAATAAATTATAATATTTATAACTAAAATGGAGAGTAAGTAAGTACTCTCTCTATTTATTTTTTTTCTTAATGTTATTTAATCTATCTTTATTTATTTATATATATATATATTCTTCATAACTAAATGGAGAGAAAAAAACCTAATTTTTTTTTCTCGTTTTAGTTATATAAGTCAAGCATATAATATGGTTATGTTGAAGGGAAATGTCGGGTCTCTGAGAGTCTCACATTGGTTGGGGAGGAGAACGAAACACCCTTTATAAGGGTGTGAAAATATTTTCCCAGTAGACGTGTTTTAAAGCCTTGGAAGTCTGAAAAGAAAAGTCCAAAAAGGACAATATTTGCTAAGAGTGGGTTTGAGCGGTTACAAATGGTATTAGAGTCAAACACCAGACAATGTGCTAGCGAAGATGCTCTTTCTCGAAAGGGGTAGACACGAAGCGGTGTGCCAATAAGAACGTTGGCCCCTAAGGGGATGAATTTAGTGAGAGTCCCACATCAATTGGAGAAAGGAACAAGTGTCAGTGAGGACACTGGGCTCCAAAGGGGTGGAGTGTGAGAGTCACACATTGGTTGGGGAAGAGAATGAAACATGAAGAGTGTGGGCAGATGCCTTTTAAATCCTTAAACGGAAGTCCGGAAAAACTTAAAGAAAACAATATTTGGTAGCAGTAGGCTTGGACCATTATAATAAAATAAAAAAATTGGTGGAAATTACAGGCAATTTGGAGGAGAAACAAGAATGGATTGCATAGAAAAAGCAGGCCATATTGTGCCAATGGAGCGCCCATTCACTACAACAAATGCCTTCAAAAATTTCTTCATTCCTTGCAAACTCATCAACAATAAACCTTCACTATATGTATTTAATTATTACATTTCATTTTATTTTATTTGAAAAAAAATAATAATTTAATATGTATTCGGATAGAAATAACAATTCCCATATCAAATTTGGTGCGCGTATTACTTTATATCATATCGTATCAACTGTTCATCATATTTTTGTGTTTTATTCAATTTTAAATTAGATTAAATTCGAATGTGTCGATAGAGTTGTCGACTCCTAAGGGGTTGAGTGTCGAGTGTCGGATATTGTTGCTTGGACTAATTTTTATCGTGCATGTGGTTTGGTTTTTTTTTTTTTTTTAATATTTTTGTAATTATTTCTCTAAAATTATGTGTTTGAACGTTTTATTAAGAGATTTTATAATTTTTCTTTTGAATTTATATCCGTGATTATCCTTTGAACATTTAATTCATAAAATTATAAGTTATTGGTGGCTTAATTTATTATTATTATTATTATATTTTTGTTCATATATATATATATATATATGAAGGTAAAGTATTTCATTTAATAAAACCAATATAATACATGAAAAAGAAAATAATTAAAAATTGTTATTTTAAAAGAAAATGAATAATTGGAATGTGTACGTAATTTTCAATTTTTATTGAAATATTGAAATATTTAAAATTAAAAATCTAAGCCCAAGCCCAAATATTTGAGTAATTGGGCTGGACCGAAGCTACTTGAATAGACGGCCCACTTAAACTTTCGTGTTCCAGCCAACCACCGCCATAGAAAAACCCAGAAATTTCTCGTCTTCACCGGCGATCAGTTCAAAGAATTGGGTTTCGGCACATCTGGAGAAGCGGGTAACATTTCCTGTTTCGTTTGATGTTTTTTTCTCGATTTCTCTTTGAGCTGCCGATGCTTTTGTTAGTAGGGCCGTAGTCGAGGTATCATCTATCTTGTTTATGCTGTGTTGCTGAGCTTTATCTCGTTAGGTCATGTCCGATAATCTGATTTTGGAAACAGATAGCCATAATTCGAACTGGATTTCTTCTTTTCAAGTCCATTTTGCTTTCAATTTTTGGTTATCGCGACGAATATTCACTGGTTGGCTTCCGATTACATTGCTTTTCTTCTTCAATGTTTTTCACTTTATCGGAAGTTGTTTTGTTTAGGATTATTAGAAGGGAATCTCGGAGTAGATCAAATTTTTAGGATTATTGTATCACATATTTGTTCTTAGGAAATAGTTGTAGCAGTGAACAAAGAAAGGAACAAACAACTGACGAGTAATTCAAGAGAAAACAGTAGTTCCCCTAATTCTAACCCTTTTGCATCTCACTTTCCCTTTTATGATCAAATACAATGAACTTGCATATTCACTCAATACATGAACTTGCCCTCCTCTTGTCCTTTTACTGTCTCTCTGAAGAACTACTGAGGGTCTGTCAAATTGATTCTGTCACTGATATTGGTTTAGAAAGAAGCTTTCATGAGATTAGCCTGTTTCCTTATGTCCCGAGTAGATGCGTTTTAAAAGCTTTGAGGAAAAGCCCAAAAGAAAAAGCTTAAAGAGGACAATATTTGTTAACGGTGGACTTGGGCTATTACAAAAATAATCTTCGGTCATGGAAATTTCAAGAAACATAATAAGGGATGCATTGTGAATGGACGAACGAGCATCTTTTACCTTGACAAATTTCCACATAAACTTTGCAGTGCTAAAGGAGTGAGAGTTTTCTTGTTAGTCACCCTTTAGCTATCAGTCACAACTTCACCAGATATGTAGTTCTACATGCTTTCTTCTCTGCTTAGGTTGAATGAACTAAAACTACGTTCTGCTTAGCTTAACTTGTAATAGACCTAACCCAGCTCTAGCATATATTATTATTTTTTTTTTTTTTAGTTTTCCTTTAGGTATTTCCCTCAAGGTTTTAAAACGCGCTCACTAGAGAGAGGTTTTCACACCCTTCTAAGGAATGCGTTGTTCCCTTCTCTAATTGATGTGAGATCTCACAATCCACCCCTCTTGGGGGTCCAACGTCCTCGCTTGCACATCGTTCTGTGTTTGGCTATGATACCATTTGTAACAACCCTAACCCGCCACTAGCATATATTGTCCTCTTTGAACTTTCCCTTCAAGGACTTCCTCTCAAGGTTTTAAAACGTGTCTACTAGAGAGAGGTTTCCATATCTTTACAACCAACCAATGTGGAATCTCACATAGCTTTTCTCGTTACTCGTGACTCTAGCTAATTTATTCCTCTTTTCTTCCTTTCAAACTAGGTTCAAAACCAATGGAACAACAGAAAGAAAAACCATCAGCTGCAGCAAATCCACCCATCCCTTCTTGTCGAAAGAAGAAAAATGAAGAAGCTACATTCTTGGAGGACTTGAAGGATCACATCGACGAGTTCATTCACGCATCGATGGACGAACACAAATCGTGCTTTAAGAAAACCATCAACAAGGTATATACTTCCAATTCCTTCACTGTGCATCTAAAAGAAGTAATCATGTTTGTGATACATGTGGTGGATGTGTTCATCTAATACTTCCAAAAACTCATTTGATTGGGTACACAGATGTTCCGTATGTCTAAAGTTGTGGCAGATAAGAATTCAGAGACAAGTGGAGTTGAGAGCTCTTTGCCTCTTCGAACAACAGTATCAGAATAAATTCTCTTTTTTCCTCTGTTCTAGGATACTCTCTCTCCATCTTCAACCAAATCCTTGTACTTTCGATCTTTTGTTTTGCTTTATTTCCACAGTTTATACCCATTGTTACTTATTTTTCTTTTTTGATTCCCAAGTTCTTGTTTATTTCCACAGGCGCATGTTTTTTCTTTGAGTTCAATCATTAAACTATCGACATTTGAAAGGGTAATTAGGAAATTGAAAATTTAGCTAACACCTTCGAGATGATTCTATATCTATTATACAGTGTGTGAATTAGTGGTTTTCTTTTTTAAAATGCAAAAAATGTAGACTATTGAATATTTGAACCTTTGGTTCCTTAATAGCCCGAGCCCAAGTAAGAACTTTAGACTCTGATCATTTTCCGTCCGAATCAAACATGAATCTTTCCATTCATTTGGTAACATCTTTGTGTATTGTGTCTTTGCTTCAATCTAGGTCAACAAAGTCGACTTCTTTTCATGCCGACTCGAAAAGGAGAGGGTAGCCCTTGCTTGACTGATTTATCGGACAAGAGGACGAGATGTGTTAGACGAGATGTGTTAAAGCAATAAATATCATAGATTTTAGACTTGGTTATGAAGAATTTCCAAAGGTCACACGACCTAACACAATCACCTATTTACCTCTAACACAATCATCTGTTTACCTCGTAGAATCAAATTTAGTTCGAGTAAGTCTTATAGGATTTAATTTTGAAATAAAAACATAAATTAAATTCATCCTCCAACATTAATTAGCCTTTTAGTTAGAAAAATGAACTTCTAAAAAAAGAAAAAAAAAAACAAATTATCACATAGAATTGCAGGTTTTGATTGTTGAAGGACTTGCAAATAGCCATCCAATCTATGTTCTTCCTCATCCCACCCTTCCAAGTTGCTTCCAATTTCAACCATTTTAGCCAAGCCTCATATTTCTCATCCTGCAATTATTATTAGACTAGTTAACTTCATCGAACATAATTTAATCTTAAATTTAAAATTAAAATTTTAAAAATCATATCTCAATTATTTAAAATATTATATATCATATATATTCGACCATAAATTCAAACTTAAAATGATATTAATCGGAGTAATTATTCAAAGAGACTAAGTCTCTTTCATTTATGAAAGAAAAGACTCCTCATATATATATATATATATATATATATATATATAGGTGTTCATCAACAGTTCTTGCCACTTTTTTTTGGTTAAATATTTTATTTACAAAATAAATTATTTTAGATGTTTATTTGAATTTTATAGAGTTTTGAGAGTCCTTTTCTAAAGTGACATTTTTTAAAACAAGATTAAGAAAAAAATCATAATTTTTAAAAACTGAACAATAATAGTTTTTATTTTTGCAAAGAAGCCCCCCTCCCCTAGTCTAATGTGTTTGTTTCAAAGCAATGGAGGAAAATATCAACACTAAACAATTAATTAAGTTGCTTTTAGAATATGGTTAGGTAACAAACTAACATATTATAATATTAACATCCCAATTATTGCTATTAATCATACAATAGTTGAACGGTAGTACGTTACAGAAGTACCTTTGCTCTTGATCATTGATGTTATCATGGGAGATTCAAGAGGCGGAAGAGGAAGAGGAAGAGGATGTGTAATTAGGAAATGGGACAAGGCCAGATTCAATGTGCTTGACATCCTCAACGAGAAGCTCAAAATGTCTCTTGACTTCATCGGCAGTCTTATCGCCAACGGCCTTTGCGACATTGAGCCAACGATCAGGCGTGTCCTTGTCAAAGATAGCCAAGGCCCTTTCAAAGGCTTTGTTTTGATTGGGAGACCATGAGGTAGAGTCCTGAGAGGAGGAGATGGAAGCCATTGATGAAGGATTAAGTGAGGGAGAAGAGTTGAAGAAAGAAGGGATTTATAGAGAAGGGAAGAAAAGGGAATGGGAGTGAGAATTTTGAATGATTTGTTTGCTTAGGAACCACAAAATGGAAAGAGGGAGAGAACACAAACATGCACCATTTCTCTCTCCTTTCGGGGCGGGTTTCATCATATCTATATCGACCGTCGGAATCAAATTCAGATTGTACTAGAGGGGCATAGCGGTACCATTGCCTGACGCTATTCCTAGACCTAGTAGCAGACGAGTAGGATATACCTGAATTCCTGAATTCAGACAGACTCTTCCTTATCTAATTAAATTTCGTAATAATATAATTTATATTTATATATATATATATATATATATATTAATGTTAAATTTTAAGTTATATAAATTGTTAAACATTAAATAAATAAATAAATAAATAAACGATTTTGTGATAAAGACGCGAGGATATAAAGAACAAATTGTTAAAACACAAAAACAAACCCCAAAATCGTATTCTTTTTCGGTAAACAATTGGTGTTAAAGCAAAAATCATGCAAGAAATCGGACGCAGAGAAGCAGAGCCTGAAGAAATGGCCGCAACTCCACACGCAGAAACCCAGATTTTGAAGGTTCAAGGGTTCTTGAGGCCAGCTTCTTCATCCCTTTCTGTTTTATTTTCATTCTTAGTAGTTTTTCTATGGGTCCAAATTCAGAGCTGAATCAATGGATTCTACAAAAAATTTCACGTGTATGCTTCTGCTACAAAACCCCCTTTTGTTTTCTTTTCAATTTTTCATCTCTGCAAAATTTTCCCTCTTTCCCATGTTGCTTTAAATAGTAATCGCTTTGTGTTCTTCTTGCACTGTTGATATATCTTTGATGTGTCCTATCCTGAACAACGTTCCAAGCAAGGCTAGCTGGCCAAACGAGTCTGTACAATGATTGCCTTGTATGTGTATGAAGAAATGCCTGGTTCCCATTTCCTCTTTGTTGGGGGTTTCTTAGCCATTGATATCTTACCAAGTGAATTCATGTTTTTTCCCTGTTGTTTTCCATCATTGTCATAGATATTTGAACCTTAATTCTCTAAGCAATTTGCTTGGCTGTATTATCATCTTACATTGGAATTAGAACACTAGGTTAGGAGTGTGAAAGTCCAAGCATGTTAGAGCCATGATAAACAATGAACTGATGGTTAATAACTAGAAGTTGGTATATCGATTGCTGGTTAAACCTTGTGAATTACAGATTTTCCAAATGAGTTTCTGGATAATCCCAACAGTTAATGGTATATGGATTGCTCGCACGCCTATAAACGAGATGGGAGAACGAGCATTAACCCGATGAAAAGGATGAAATTGTATTGGTTCTTCGATCAGGATGAAATATTTCTTGATATCAAGCATATCCCTGATGACCCTTTTGTTTTGTTTTGTTGGAACTGTTTCTGAATGGTGTTATTGCAGTCACCAAGATTGGCTCATATGCTTTTGCCTGTTTATCCTTCCTTCATGTAAGTTTTTAAGGGTCCACAGCTATGTATTCCCCTTGCTATATTTGGTTATTTTTATGTGAATAAATAGTGACATTTATTTTACTGGTTCCAGCTAGAAGATATGGTTGAGCTTTGGCTGGCCCATTTTATGTGTCTCAAGCTTCAATATTCAAAGTATGTATAATCATATTCCGACTAGTATCATGATATGTTTTTCAACTTAAATGCGATGTAGAATCTTTGTTGTCCTAGATGCAAAGGATTGTTACGGCCCAGCTGAATTCTTTTGTCTGCTCTTACTTTTCTTTTGTTACAAAAGATACTTGATCAGGGGACCTAGTTTTTGTTTCTAATCGAGACGATATAGCATTGACAAAGTTATTGTTTTGGGATACTGTCGAAATACTTAGAATTCATTAAGAACAATCGATTCTCTTGTATAAGTATTGATTGGTGAAGTTCTACACTATCCAGCTACGGTGTTTTACATGTCGAGTCGATAAGACTCATGTTAGACATACTCTAAGAAAGCATCTGATAACATAAGATAGCAGAATGACCCCACTATTTGAGCGTAGCTCGACTAGTGATGATATATATCTTCGACAAGAGGTCAAAGGTTTGAATCCTCCACTCTTACACATTGTTGAACTCAAGTTATTAGTTTGCAATGGATGTAATGGAATCTCGAGTTACGCATTGTAGTCAAGTTCATTGCTTGATTATTACTTACATGTAATGGAATATGTGCACGCAGATACACCCTCGGTTGACATTAAGAATCCTTATCAAGTATTGTCCTAATCCCTTTTCACATGAAAATAATACTGATATCAATTCTATTGAGGATTGCTGGGAGAAGAATCCCACATTGGTTAATTAAGAGGTTGATCATGGGTTTGTAAGTAAGGAATACATTTTCATTGGTATGAGACCCAAAAGCAAAGCCATGAGAGCTTATGCTCAAAGTGGACAATATCATACTATTGTGGAGGTTTGTGATTCCTAATATGGTATTGAGTCATGCCCTTAACTTAGTCATGTCAATAGAATCCTTAAATGTCGAACAAAGAAGTTGTGAGTCCTGAAGGTATAGTAAGAAGTGACTTAAATATTGAATAAATGATGTATTTTGTTCGAGGGCTCTAGAGAAAGGAGTTGAGCCTCAATTAAGGGGAGGTTGTTCAAAGGCTCCATAAGCCTCAGGGAGGCTCTATGGTGTACTTTGTTCGAGGGGAGGATTGTTAAGGATTGTTGGTAGAGGAGTCCTACATCGGCTAATTAAGAGGTTGATCCTGAGTTTAAAAGTAAGGAATACATCTTCATTAGTATGAGGCATTTTAGGGAAACCAAAAGTGAAGCCATAAAAGCTTATATTCAAATTGGACAATATCATACCATTGTGAAGATTTGTGATTCCTAACAAATTCCTTCCATCTTTGGGATTGTTATGCTACAAAGTGGTCCTCATCCTAGAGTCATAGAAAGATTCCATCATGTTTGACTGCTGTTCTATGGGTGAATGTGAATATGCATAGTTTGTTTAGTTCCCAAAGGGTGGTGTAAAGGTTGCATATTCAATTGCTAAGATGCGATGCATGGCTTTTGTATTCATTGCACCCTAGTTGCTTGGAAGAAATGGACAAGAATCATGAACTTTATGGAGAGAAGAAGAATTGCACCGTCCAAACCTAGTTGGATGGTCCAAAGGCGTCTTCAAAAGAATAAAACTAACTTATTACACGGAATCTTACGAGCAGGTTGGCTTTTGAATTCCGAGTTGTTTGCTTTGTTTTTCTCCAAGATTATGCTGGTGAAGTTAAAGAAATAGAAAAGGTCAGTGCAAAGTCCATTTTGGTCTGCTTGAATTAACTTCTGATATAATCTCATGCTGCTTATATATATTCCAGTGCTGAGAAAAAGAACGTGAACCCACTGGGCGCTCGTGATGTGGCACAGGGATTCGCCTCTTCCTGCTCATTAGTTTTGGTATAATTTCAAGACATTTTATTCATTTCTTTATTATTAACAGCTGCAGAGTTATTGGTTTGGCCTATATGCTGCTTTTTTTTTTTTTTGCTTCTGAAGTTATTAAGTTCTATTTGTGGTCTTACTTTGCTTGGATTGACATTCAATAAAACTCACACATAGCAACTCGTTGTGGTGTGATCTACAAGCCTCTCTTTTCTTCGTCCCTATGAATGAACGGACGAAGTTAGAATGGACCTGTCATGGTTTATCAGGTCTTGTCAAGAATTGAGAGAGAAGTGTTGTGATGTGACCAAAAAGGACAGTGCATCGCTTAACACACAAAAGGATTGTGTGAGAAAGTCAAACTATGGTTCAAGCAAGGTTAGAAATGACAAGATCATTAGTGCGGTTAATGACAAGCTTAGTAGGGGTTAGATGGGGCCTCAAGTCAAGGCTTTGTAAGATGGGGATGGCTTTGGGTTAGATTCTGGTTAGTGAGAGATATGACAGTATGTCGCATTTGAGGTGAGTTAAAGATCATACAAGCTAAGCTCTCCAGGGATGGATAGAAAATCTCAAATGGAAAGAAAGACAATCTCATTTGTTTGTTTCGATAAGCACATTCAAACAAGTAGTAAAGTAAGATGTCATGTTGATGCTCAAGGCGACATAAACCATCAATGGTGACTCAATAGTTCTCGGTTGGAACAATAGTTGCTTGATAGAGCCCAATAAGTGTTGTAGTGGCCCATAGCATTCGAGAAATAACTAAGAAGATGGATGGAACCTGATAAGCACTATAATGGCTCGGTAGGGGGCTCAGTAGGTGTCGTAACCACCGAGTAATCCTTAAGAAAGTATTGTAAGCTTGTTTTGCCCCAGTCCCAATAAGGTTTCAACATGTAGAAGAGTAGAGATGAAGTTGATATTGGTAATTGAATTAATGGGAAGTTGTTGTAAAATAATAAAAGATAAATAGAATTAATAATAATAGTATTTAGTGGAAATATCCTTATTGGGAAAAGGAGAAGGGCATGTGAGAAGGTGTGGAAGGGCATGGCCACAATATTCGGCTACAGCGAAAAACGACAACAATACATGGGGAATTGGACCCCATATGTCTTTCCTCCTAACACCCTCTCTCTCTCTCTATTCATCGTCTAAGTCCCCCTTACATTCTAACTCCCAACTATCCTTACTCTTTACTCATCATTTTGTAATGGAATCCTTGTTCTTCGTTTGCCGCTTCTCTCTCCTAGTTCTTCTCTTCAATGGAATCTTACAATCCATCCCTTGTCGGGTCTCTCTACTAGTTCTTCTCTTCAATCGATGAGGAATCTCACAATCCACCCTCTTTCAAGTCTCAGCATCCTCATTAGCACATCATTCAGTGCCCACCACTTTAGGGCCCAACATCTAGTTAGGGCCTTAAGATCTTCACTAATGTCTACCTCTCCCACCATCAGAACTCAGATTGCTAGCACACAGATTGCTAGCACACCCCTCAATGTCTATAGAAGAGAAGAGGTACCATGAAATGTGTTCACAATTACACAAAGTTACATAAGAAGGGGGTGTTTGTTTAGCCATTCGATAAATTAAATTGAAATTTTGAAAAAAGAATATTCCTTGAACGATCAGATTCCACCCCACTTGTCCGATACGGAATTCGATGTGGCAGACCCATCATGGCCCAATTAAAAAAGAAATATACCACGAATCATTGCAAAAATATCTCACTATCTTTTTCCACAAAAATATCTACCTGTCGTCAATCGGATCACAGATCGAAACTACAGCTAAATTATATTAAAAACTACCAATTATCTTCCCCATTTGCCGTTCCCAGAGCAATAATTTATGATCACAGTACATGACGAACTCTGAAAAAATCATGAAAATGGATCGTACTTATTTCTGAATTAACCCTTCAATGGAGATTCTTGGCTATGCCGGAAATTCGGAAGAGAGAAAGGATGAACACAAACAGAAATTTGTTGAGAACGAAGAGCTGTACTCTTCATTTTCTTATATCATTTTTTTCGTTGTAACAGAGACATAATGAGGAACACGAAACCCATCGGTCATCGGTCAAAAAAAGAGAGCACCCAAACGGAACACAGTACACGGAAATCAAAAGGCTGCTAAGTTTTTTTTTTTTTCTTTTATCATCACACTAATACTTCGACGAAACCAAAAGCTAAATCATAATGCAACACCGCCTAATTTCTCCACCCTCCTTCAGATCCGCCGCCACCGCCACCTCCTCTCTGGTAGCGACCACCATCACCACCACCACCGCCGCCGTATCCACGGTCACGTCCTCCACCATAACCACCACCACCACCGTATCCACCTCCACCGCCACCGTAACCACCACCTCCACGGTTGTATCCACCACCACCACCTCCTTCACGGCGCCCACCGTAGCCACCACCACCACCTCCACCACGGTTGTAACCACCGCCGCCTCCGCCACCACCGCCTCTTTGCTGAGCCTCGTTAACGGTGATACTCCGTCCATCAAGGTTCTGGCCGTTCATCGCTTCGATTGCGCTTCTCATGGCCTCTTCATCGACAAAAGTCACGAATCCAAATCCCCTCGATCTTCCGGTTTCACGGTCGTTGACGATCTGGATAAAAATAATCACAAGAAAACAAAGATCAGTCACAGAACCACAACAATTGGGGCAAACTGGAACAAAATTCAAAAGAACAAAAATGAAAATTAAAGAAAAATCGATCGTTCTTCGTCTCTGTAACCAAGATGAAGGTAAACGTACCGATGAAAGGAGTAATAAAAGTAACATATCAAGAGAGTAGTAGTAGTAGTAGTAAAGTAACACAAAACAGATGAGAGTCACAGATCAGATTTAGGATCGTCAAAGCCGAATCGGAACAAATCCAGATCTCGACGATAACAAACGGACCTTGGCTTCCACGATCTCGCCAAAGGAAGAGAAAGCCTTCTCTAAGGCATGATTATCAGTGGCCCACGCAAGGCCACCCACGAAGCAACGGTACTCAACAGACGAGGAAGCCATGGAAATCAGAAAACCCTAACCCTAGAAAGGGGTTCAAACAAGGAAGGAAAGGAGAAAGAGGGGGATCGACACAAATCCACACCTCTGAAGACGAACACAATGAGTTAGAAATGAACCAAGGGGTTGGTTATATAGAGGGCAGAAGATAACTAGGGTTAGTTTTAGGGTTTGCTCAGTATTTAACTCACGCGGTTTATTTGCAATCAGGGTTAACCTAAAAGGCGGTGTGATTGGCACCTTGTTTGGATGCGCCCCAAATCTTATCCTTCCGTCAGTTATTCCAATCCCCATTTTATGATATTTTTCTCCTCCTATAAATATCTACTTTTACTACCAAACCTAAAAATGTCAACTTCATCCCATTGTATTATCATGATAAACCCTAATTACATAGAAATTTAGTGGTGAAATAATAAAATATTATATTAAGACGAAATTCGACTGTAAGTTTTTCATCCTTCTCTAGACCGTTGTGTTGTCTTAAGTATCGAAGCCTCTGAGGCAAGCACATTGTCACATCAGTGTCAATTTCCTTCTTTCATAGGTCACGATCTTCTTCCTTTAAACAATTTTTATAGTTGTCATGTGTAGGTCTCTGGTTGTGTGAAATCTCACATCAATCGGAGAAAAAAATGAAACATTCTCGTGCGGAACCTCTTTGTAGCATACGCGTTTTAAAAACTTTGAGGACAAGCCCGAAAGAGAAATCACAAAGAGGACAATATCTGCTAGATATGTGCTTGGGCCATTACAAATGGTATAAAAGGCGAACGATTTGTCTACGGTGAGGCTAAGCTCCTAAGGGGTGGGCATAAAGGTGTGCCCGCCGCCTAGAATAAGGGTGGATTAGTGGACCCACATCGATTGGAGAAGGGAACAAGTGCCCGCCAGAACACTGGCCCTAAAAGGTGGATTGTGAGATCCATTAAGATAATAATAATAATCTTCCATGATCATGTGGGCTTTGGGCCCAACCATCAAACCTGGGTTTGTTAGTTTTGGGCCTAACCATTTAATTTGAGTTAAAACTTCGGCCCAAATTTCGCATGGTCCAATTCGACTAAATTTAATTTAATTACTTGATTAAACATATTCACTTTAATTTGAGAATTTGTCAATTTTTTTCTTCAAATTAAATGTAGGACACATGTCAACTTATAATTGGCTTCAAAATGGATATCTCATTATGCTTAATTACCATTTTAGGATCAAGGTGAATTCACATAATTATTATTTTAGGTATTTTTATAAGAATAATTACAAACATAATACTATTTATTTAATATAGGTTAAATTAATAAAAAAATAATATTGAATTTTATCTAAAAAATACCTATAAAATTTTAAAAGATTTAATAATACCCTTAAATTTAAAAATAAAAAAAATACCTTTAAACCTAAAAAAAAGTTAAAAAATACCCTTATCAAAGTTTCATTAATATTGTTAAATTTTTTTCCTAAAATTTAAAAATATTTTATCACGTTTCAAAAATACTCGCACTTTAAAAAAATAACACAATAATTTTAGAGATAATTTATGAGGTGTTGATAGACGATTTTTTTTTTTTTCCATATAGACGGTAATATTTTTTTTAAAACATTTTTATAAAAGGTAAAGAGTGTTAACGCTACGTTGAAAAATTCCACGCGTATTTTTTAACACAGTACTAATAGAAAGAGTATTTTTTTAAAAGTTTAACGAAACTTTTTAAACTTGAACCATATTTTTTGAAAGTACTTTATGCCCAAAACGATAAATTTTAAAAGTCTTATCACACTAAAATAAGAAATGAAAAAAAAAAAACATTGTTATATTTTGAATTAATCAATATTATATAAATAATTAACACCTACCACAAAAAAGCTAGCTTTGTCTATTAGGGAAAAGGACATATAAAATTTTAAATCAAAATTAATAAACAAAGAGGCTTGTTTAAGTTAAATACTCCATTAAATAATAATAATTAGAACAATTGAAAAAATTAGTTGAACTTTTCAAAATTAATTAAAAAAAACAAATTATTGATTATTGTATGACCTT